TGTCATGAAAAAGATATGCACTGATTTAGTTCAAGCATAGAAAACTTGTTCATTTTAGTTGGAACTTAGTTTCCATATTTATGTGTGTTGCTTCTCTCATGAGGAAAATATGCACTGATTTAGTTCAAGTTTATAAAATTTGTAATGGTTGAAAATTAGTTAGCATTTGATATTTTTAAGTTAAATTATACTTTTAATTTTTTTTTTATCTTTGAAATGTATATTTTGATCATTTATCTCTTAAATTAAGATTAATTTAATTATTTTGAATTTATTTTGATTAATTTAAGACTTAAAATTTATTTAATAAAATTTACTTATATCTTAATACAATTTAAGTTCAAATAAAATATTTTATAAACATAGCAAGGTTTATCGGAACCCTGCATGAACTCCAAAATCTGGGACTCCAGAGAGGAGAACTCGCCCTCCCAATCCTTGCAGCGCCGCAAGAACCCGGAGCAGGACCAGCACAAACCCTTGTAACAGTTGAGAAGCGAACCCGGTTCTTTGAGAAGCGCGAACCGGCGCAGCCTCCCGGTCGAGGCGGAGCAGAAGTAAAGAGGGGGGCAGAGGAGCGAACTGGTCAAATGGGGCGAGAGAAGAGAAGAAGAGAATGCGGTGAGGAAGTGCATGGTTGGGGCATTTCGTCGAACAGTTCTTATTCCTGTAATGGAAAGAAGAGGGGCACATTGGTGACTGACAGAGAAAGAAAGAAAGAGATAGAGTGTTCGTGGCATTTATTTTCGCATTCCGCACTTCACTTAACGCCAGTCCAAGAAAACGAATCCTCCACCTCCATTTTTTTCGGCGATCAACGTATCCTCCTCCATTGTTTTCGGCGAACGTATCTTCCATTTTTTTGGGCGACGTGTTTTGGGCTGGGAGAACCACACAAGCCAAATTTTAATATGAAATAATTGTTGCAATTATCCCTTAAAAACATTGTTGTAATTATAATTAATATATATATAAAAATAAGTATATAAAATATTTTAACTAAAGTAATTATTATTTTTAATTGATTGAATTTTGAAGCACTTTTTTGTGAAAAGTATTTTTGAGTATGCATGGAAAGATGTGAAAATTGGGTAAACATCCAATTGAAATCCTTGATTTAAAAAATATTTTCATATTAATTTTTGAAATTAAAAACTATAAAAATTAGTATTTAAAATACTAAATAAGTTTATTAGTTTAATTATTTACTATAATTTAAAACCTTTAAATATATATATATATATATATATATATATATTATTTTAATTACACAATTCTTAATTTTAAACTAATATAATTATTAATTTACATTCTTAGAACATCTCTAACATAAAATATTTGTAATATATCTTACCGATAACTAAATGTATTTATTAGTAATTTGTAATTGTAGTGTAATATAGAAAATTGCTTAAAAATAAGCTATAACTCTTAAATGTATATCATTGTTGAGAATATAAATTACTCTTACAAATAAAAAAATATTATTTATTATGTTTAATTAAATTAATATTTAATTTTAATAATTACATTAATTTTAAATTATCAAAAAATTTAAATGAATAAAAAATTATAAAAAGTGTTAGTTGCTTATAAAATTTCATCATTGAAGTAAAATTTGAAAAATATAATGTGAATTACTTGAAAATAATGTGATAAGGTGAATCCCATTTAAAGTAAAACTAGTATTTTAGCCTAATATTTATTGTATAATTTGTATATAACTAAAAATTATAATAAATTATATATACAAATAAATATTATGTTTAAATATATAAATTATATTTAAAATTTATATAAATAGATATTTTTAAATATATAAATTATATTTTAGATTTTTGATAAATAAATTATATTCTAATATAATATAATTTTATTTATTAATAATTTATTTTAAAATATTAAAATTTAATTTATAAATAATTATGATAAATAAAAATTGACTTAGATAAAAAGTTAAAAAAATCTCTAAAAAATTCTCTTGTAACAAAAAAAATCCTTAAAAATATTTTTATGCAAGGGATCAAAATAGATTTTTCACATTAAAATTATTTTAATAATTAATTATATTTGAAATAAATTATTTTTAAATCATTTGTTATCAAAATGAATCTCATTTGAATAGTCTGCTTAAAAATATTTTTAAAATATTTAATTTTATTTGAATTTAATAATATAATTTTCAAATTCATAAAAATAACTTATTTTTTAAGTTAAAAAAATGTTATTTACAAATTTCACTTGTGTCCCTCCAATTGGGAAGCAGAACACATTTTATGGAGTATTTAGTATGGGAAACAGTTTGGATGACAACAATTTAGACAATATGACTAAAAAGGAATAAAACTAATTTTGAAGGATAAACCTTTTAGTATAGAGATATTGCAGTGGAGTTGATTCAGCTAGCTAAGTAATTAAGGGCATAGAATTGGATAAAAACTAAACATAATTTTGCTGGTTTTTCTTCTTTATATGATTGGAAGGTTTAATCACTGCTATGTACTATAAGCATTTCGTAATTCATATGGTGGTGCCTATTTATGTTCGTATTGTTTTGTCATGAAAAAGATATGCACTGATTTAGTTCAAGCATAGAAAACTTGTTCATTTTAGTTGGAACTTAGTTTCCATATTTATGTGTGTTGCTTCTCTCATGAGGAAAATA